GGCAATCATGTATGTTTACAATGTTTGTTGTTGAAATTTCAAACTCTATTCCTTAGCAGGCTCCCTGGACTAACTTCTTAGTGATATCTGTAGCACTTCTGTAGAAATAGCAAATTGAATCCAGAGTTAATTTTTGAAATGACATGAAAATAAAAAGTACACCTCGGAGAAATCTATCTTCTAAAAATGTACTGGTATTGACCACACGTCTGTTGATATCTCTTTCACTATCAGCTGTTTTCCTATGTCAACTATGAAATACCTTTAAACACTTTAAGAGCTATTCAGCGGTTGAAATTGTAGGACATTACATGATACGTGTGAAAATCTCTATCTTGTGAAATGGTAGGTGTAGAATATAATCTTCCAGAACAGTTTGATATATATATATCTCTGTACATATAGGCATAAGACTTAGAAATTCCTCATTCAAATGTTCAGTTCATTACGAGAAAAAAAATGATTTAATCATTTTTCTACATGTGAGCATGATGAGATGTATGTAGATACAATTCTGTATTTATCAAAACAAAATTTCATATCAGTCTAAACTCTAAGTTGCATTTAAAGAGAGCAAATTCAAACCTTCTCAAAAGGAAAATGGAAAATAACAGCTCACGTAATTCAAAAGTCTATCTGGCTTCAAGTTCAGTTCACTGAAGGTGCTCATTGGATATTTCTTTCTCATGTTTTCTTTATGAAGTGTCTTCCAGGACTTATAGAGTTTTCTTTGTTCGGTGTTTTATAGTAAGTTATAATTGTTTATTATTACAGATGCTAAGGTTTTCATGTTTTCTTATATTCAAACATTCCTATGATTTAAGAGTAAAAAATATATGAAACTTACCCAGAGAACTCTCACTTGCACCACTGTATTCTTCTCCGAGTTCCAGTCTATCATCCCCTTTCATCACCATCTTGACTGGTATTATCCACTTCCTTCAGATTTTCAGATTAATTTGCATAAAATGGCATAAAATTGACTTTTGGTATTTTTTTAGTTTCTGTATTTCAAATATTATTATCTCCTTTTCTCATTGCTTGCTTTTGTTCCTCTGTTTTCTTTTCTTCTTTTTTTTTTTTTTTGACTAGTGCAAATAGTAGGTGTCTCACTGACTTTTTTCAAAGAGCCAGCCTTTGAATTTATGCATTTTTTATGTTTTCAAATTATTGACTGAGATTTTTAATTCTTATGTATGCCTACTTTGTTAGTTTTGTCCTTTTCTAACTTTTTGAATTGTATGTTTAATATGTTTCTTTTGGGTCTTTTTCATCTTTATTAATGTAATTACATAAACTGACTGATTTTTCTATGATCATGGCTCTAGATGCTGCATAGATTTTGATATATAAGTAAGAAGTGCATGATAATTATGTTCTAGAAATTTTGTAAGCTAAGTTTGTACTTCTCCTTTGATCCAAAAAATGTTTAATGGTAAATTGTTTTTTAACTGACGGATGAAAGTATCTTTTTTATTTTATCTTGTTATTAATTTCCAGTTTTATTGCATTATAATCAGACTGTTTTGGTATAATTTTCATGTTATGGACCTTATTGAAGTTCTCTATGTCGTGAAAGGCACATAGGAAATTAAATAGAACAGATTTTTACAACATTTAATGAGAACTTGAACACGGTATACCTATTATCCTTCTGTTGGGGAACAATGTATGTATGTGTCTTCATAAAAAATCTTCCTTACTGATTATGCTACTTAGGTCTTTTGAGTACTCAATGACTTTTATATACCTGTTGTATCTTCTCAGATTGACAGTTATTTCAAAGTCCTATCTTATTTGTGTGTTTCTGTTTTTCCTAGCATCTCCATTGGCTTCAATGTTATCAAGATGGCCACTGTATGAATATATTTATAAATCTTAATTTTTCATTGTGAAATATAGCCCTTTTTGCATTAAGAATTATTCATCTTATGTAATATTCTTTATGTTGAATTCATCCTGATAGATATCAAGATCACAAACCCTGGTTACATTTTGTCTCATTTTCAGGTGACCTTGGCTCATTTCCTCATTTTCAGGCTTGCAAATCACTTTTTAAACATATAATTGTATAAGGCATACAACAAAATTTTGCTTTTGACCCAATTTGAAGCCTTTTCTTCAGTAGGTTTGTTAAGCCAATTATATGTGTTATATAATGCATCTGCTTGTCCTCATGTTTCCTGTGTTTTGTTTTATCATGTGATATTTATTGTGGCTCTTTCACTGCTTTTTTTGTTTGTTTGTTTGTTTTGTAGTTTGTTTTTGCTTAATGTTTGTTTTAATTTTGCTGCAAATGCATTTACTTCTGTTTTAATTTCTTCTGGTAATTATGAGCGTTAATATTTTTGTTTTAGTGGCTTTTTTATTCTAGTGTCCTTATAGAATGCTTTTTTTCTTTTCCTCTTTTCTTTACTTACACCTCTATATGTTATCTCAACTTTAAAGTACATACTTTAATTTCCATCTTTTATCCCAAAGACAATAAAATAGCTAATGCTTTTTTCGCTTTTGTCTCTTCCTTCTCTTCCTATGCTTTAGTTGCAATATTTCTATTTCGTTAGCCTATATAACAAATAACATATTCTCCCACGTGTATATCCACATTTATTTTAGCCTTAGGTTCTCAATTCAACATTATTTAATACTTACCACCAACTCTTTTGCTGAAGTTCCCTTAATCATATCTTGGTTGAAGGAGGATCATTCCTTATTGTGCTACTAGCGCTGCAGATTTTGACATTTTGTTTTAGATATTTGTTGGATGAATAGCATATTATTTGTTTTATTTTATTTATTTTTATTTATTTTATTTTATGGTAGTCACTACTCTACCACTGGGTCTCAAATTTGTTTCTCGTATTGCCATTTAGGATTGAATCTTTCCTTGGGAGTAAATCCAAATTAATATTATTTATGTTATATTATTACTCATATTCTGCTGCAGTCCTATTCTGGGCAGTCCCTAAGGAGGAATGCTATTTTAAAGCTTGTCTTTTTATTCCATAAAATTTAGTCTTCCTTAACCTCTAACACTCCTAACCTTAATATAAAAGTATCTGTTACAAAGACTTCCTTTTACCATAAAGAATTTTACAATGGTTTTAATTAATACAAGAAGAAAATAGAAAGCATTAAAACTGCAATCATTTAAATTCAAAGTTGTGTAAATATGGTTATTTTATAATATAAGATTTGATACTTTTAACAATTCATTTCCAAAGTACTCTCAGTTTTTCTGGCACCATCTGTTTACCTCAGGGAAGAAAAATCCACATTTTCTTTGTGTTTAAGTGGATAGTATCCTGATTTAAAGTGTGTCACAGGAGCCAGGTTTGGTGGTAACAGTCTATAATCCTAGCTACTTGGGAGGCTGAGGTGGGAGAATCACTTAAACCAGGAGTTTGAGAACAGCCTGGGCAATATAGTGAGCCTCTGTCTCTAAAAATATAAAATAAAATAAAATGTGTGTCACAAAGACAATGCTTTAATATCCCAATTTGTATTTACAAATGCTTTATGACCAAGTGTCACATTTATTAAATAAATGTGAACGGAAAAAGCCAAAACTCAATAAAAATAACCTCAACACATCTTAATATAAATATGAATCAGAATAATTTCAGCTCCTTAAGTTTTCAAGTTTTTGCTCGGTTTTCCTTGACATTCATTGAGGTGGTTAGTCTTTGTGTCTCCATCCAAATCTTCTTGAATTGTAATCCCCAGGTGTTTAGGGAGAGACCTGATGGGAGTGACTGGATCATGGGGGCGGTTTCTCCCATGCTGTTCTCCTGACAGTGAGTGAGTTCTTGAAAGACATGATAGTTTTCTAAGTATTTGACAAGTTCCTCCTTTCCTCACTTTTTCCTCCTGCCACCATGTGAGAAGGTCCAAGCTTGCTTCCCCTTCACCTTCCGCCATGATTTTAAGTTTCTTGAGGTCTTGGGTCAATTAAACCTCTTCCCTTTAATAAATTACCCAGTCTTGGGTATTTCTTTATAGGAGTGTGAAAACAAACTAATACATTCATTATCATTTTAGGGTACTTAAAAATAATCATATTTACTAGGAAATCTCTAGATTTAAAAGTAAATAGCAATAATGTTTTTGTAATCAGTGACATGTAATGGAATGCTTTGTGATTTCTTTGAAATTAAAAAAAAAAAAAAACTGAAACTCATTTTTGTTCAAGTAGGCAACTGAAACCACTTCTTGTGTCTTATAATTCACACTTCATTCTCCAACATGGATATTAAGGATACAGACGTGTGTAGGGAATGTGTTTCCTCTTTGGAAGCATGAAGTGGGGAGAAAACAATCTACGACCCAGTGGTAGACATGAATTTGCCTCAGATTTCTTTGGAATCAGAAAAGGTAAATTGAATAAAAGCATGCATTATGTAGTAAGTACAAAGTTGTCTATGTATAAATGCACATAATAGCACATAAAATGAGACCTAGAAGTATTGCTGGAAATAATAATTTTAGAATAAATTCTTTTACATTATTTTTGAAAAGTAGTTTTATAAGTCAAATTAAATTTTCCTTCAATATTATTTTTTCCTAAAATTGTAGTTATTATTTTAAAAATATAGTCTTTGTACTTTGGGAGTCCGAGGTGGGCAGATCACAAGGTCAAGAGATTGAGATCATCCTGGCCAACGTGTTGAAACCCTGTATCTACTAAAAATACAAAAAAGTTTAGCTAGGCATGGTGGCGCAAGCCTGTAGTCCCAGCTACTCCGGAGGCTGAGGCAGGAGAATTGCTTGAACCCGGGAGGCAGAGGTTGCAGTGAGCCAGGATCGCACCACTGCTCTAAAATGCATGTATGAAAATGAGACAAAATGTAACCAGGGCTTGTGATCTTGATATCTATCAGGATGCATTCAGCATTAAGAACATTACATAAGATGAAGAATTATTTATAATGCAAAAAAAAGTCAAAGACTATATATATAATATACAGATATTAAGATAAATTAATTATACCAATGAACACAACAAGATTACTTCAGCAGCACAGAAGAATGATGACTTATTTTTAAAATGTCTCTTTCATTTCATGCGCAGGGATTATTTTCCAGGGTCAGAAAACCATGTAAGCAAAATGTTTACAAAGGTCTTTTCAATAGGCTCTTCTGCACTCTCTCCACTTCAAACCTAACAAATGAAACATGCAACATAAATATAGTTATAGGAAATATACATATGTCTAATTTTTGTTTTAACTTTGTAAAAGTAGTGGCCAGAGGATCGAATCCTGATAACCAAGTTAGTGATGTATCATAGTACAGATAATGCCGTTCTAAGAACATGCAGCATGCAGAAATGTGACTCATGAACCAAGCATTTGACTTTGATCTTTAATCAACCTCTGCCATGCTGCAAGTCCGTAGGTCCACTGCCAAATCCTGCATATCTCAGTTATATCATCTCTATTTTTGTAATAATAAATTCCTTGGGTATTTCTATATATCATGATAAATTTCAAATGGAATGACTGTTCTGAAAGCAATTTAAAAATTTAAGGCACTCCATAGATACTCAGTCATGTTTGTAGAGTCCTTTGTTTTCTTATGTAGTAGGAACTAATAGATAATATTATTCAACCCCAGGGCATCTTTAAAGATTTTGTTCCCTCACTTTTAATATACAAAGAAATACTTGGAATAATGTTAGCCTCAAATTAATAATAGTTATCCCTGGATAGTGGAATTGTAGATTTATTTTTGTTCTTTCCTTTGTATTTATTGTACAGTTAGTATTTTTCATGAAGCATAAATTGCTTTCACATATAGTTACCTTTTTCTGACATAAACCTTGAGCGTGATTAAAATACAAAGAAAAAATTGAAAACATATTGTAGTATCTATGAGAAATTTTAATCACTGTAAAATACTTCTGTATTCAAAAAGTTGAATGTCCCAGTGGACAATTCACATGAAGGATATATGAATGATCATAATAAATATAAAATGTTGCTTTTCTATAATCAAATAAATACAAATATGTAAAATTAGTTTTGTCATTGTAAAACTGTTGAAATCTAAAGTCAAAATGAAGATCTTGGGTTGGGGACAGTGCACATTAACTGCAAATTAGTAACAACTGTAGGAGTGACAGCTGACTTTTCAACATAAACAATGAAAACCATAAATTAAGATGCTGATTCTAAAATTCATGGAAATGCAAAGAAGCAATAATTATAAAGGCAATTTTGGACATGGAGAAAAAAAACTGGAAGATTTATGCTCCCAAGTATTAAGACCAATTTTAAAGATCCATTAGTTAAGACAGTGTGATATTGGTGCAAGGAGAGAAAAATAGGCTATTAAATAAAATTTATGGGATGCCATTGTTTTGGACTAAGCTCCTGCACTAGGCCCCAGCAAAACAGATCTATTCAAAATGGAGTTACCTATTCTAAGGTTCCATGTCATCAAATTGAAACAAAGTTGTTTATCTGATCTTCTGAGAAATCAAAAGTGAAATGATATCCAAATGCTGTAACAGGACAGTTTTATCCAGAGTGACGAGGAAGTCCCTTCTGTTTTAACCTTTACAAAGAAAGTAATCAGAAGTAACTTGATGTTAATTAACCTGTTTGTTTGTTTGTTTGTTTATACATTTTTCTTGTTCCAGTTCTAGCTACCTTATAAAAGCTAACTCTTCTGCCGGATCTTTAATGGAATGATGCCTGATTCATGAATCACAGTAAAAGCTAATCTAATCTTTAAACTCAATTTTTTAAAATTTTATTTTTAAAAAAATGTAATGAAAGAGATAAAACAAAAATAGAGCCATGTATACAATAACTTATGTTTCTTATTTTATATTTAAAACGTGGGGGTTAATGCAGTGGGTAAAGGATGGAATACTCCATAAATTGCGCTAGATCAATTTTATTCACTGTAATATGTTGACTAAGACTCTCTCCTTTGACTAAAAAAAAGAAGGACTCAGACTCCAACTTCTGTACTTGACTAGGACCATACTCAGTCTTGCCTCTCTGTCTTTTTATAATTCAGTTTGAGGAAGAATCCAGCTAAGTCAGTTTAGTGAAAATCCACCCTTAGTATTTGACCACTGTATATATTATCATCCTGACCTGTCTTCAGCAAGAATTCTGTTGAGTCATTCTAGCAAGAATTCACCTTAAACCTGATATTTCTTGTTAGTAAACTTTCCGTCACTTACCCCACCCTATTCCTTTGCTATACATCCCCACTTGTTCCTGTTGGAGTCAGAGTTGAGTCCAAACTCTTCCCTTTACCGACAGACCAAATTGTCTCACTGTTATAACCCCTATAGTTATCACCATACCACCCCAAACCCTTGAATAGAGTCCTCCTTACTGCCTTTAATAAGTGTTATGAATAATTTTTCCTATAACAATACTTTTATACATCAAAAAACCTTTCTAACCTACCCCACACAATACATAAAAATAAATCCCATATGGATTATATCTAATGTGAACAGTATAACAATAAAGAAAAACATAAAAATACCTTCACTAGAAGTAAGTAAAGATTTCTTAGGAAGGATATAATAGTACTAACAACAAAGAATAAAATAAGAATAGTTGCCTAAAGTTAAGGATTTTTTGCTATTTCTTAAATGACATGAGTAAGAGAATAAAGAGCAAGAAATAAACTAGAGCAGAATATTTTCAATATATTTATCTAACATAAGATTCATGTCCAGGACATACACAAATTTCATATAAATCAATTTTTAAATCACAGGCAATTCAGTATAGAAATTAGGAAAAAAGACTTGGATAGAGGCTTCATATGATAGAATATCCAAATAACCAATATACACATTAAAAAGAAGTTGAGCTTTATTAGCTATAAGGACATCCACATTAAAACCACAACGAGATACCACTACATACTGACTGGGTTTGGGACATATTACCCGCAAACCTGACGTAATAGAATTTAAGAAACCAGCAGAAGCAGGAAAGTCATTCTCACCTTCCATTGCCTTTCTTCCCTGCAACAGATTACAAAGCCTTCATTCCAGAGGTAATCTCCCTATACCTGGAAGAGAAAAACATCTTAATCCTCAAAGGCACAAAGATATCAAAAACAATCTGAAGAAACAACACTTGCTAAGTGTGCCCCAACCCCTGATTTATCACTATTATTAGATCATACCCCCTTTGTCCAATCACACTTCCCCACAACTATCCACTTCCTCCGACTCCGCAGAGAAGAAATACATAGACTTTGTTGTTTCTTTAGGTCTTCATTTCCGAAGGCTCCCCTGTCATGTAACTTATGTTAAGGATATTTGTATGCTTTTCTCTTGTTAATATATCTTTCATTATAGGTACCTCAGCCAAGAACCTTGTGATGACTGAAGAAAAGAAATATTTTCTTCCTACTATGATATCCACCAGAATGTCTACAATGAAAGCAACAGACAATACTAACTGCTGACAAGGATGTGGAACAAGTGGAATACTCATACACTACATGTAGAGCTTGGAGAAACTGGTAGGCATTGTCTAGTTTACAGGAACATATATGTGCCCTATCACCCATCAATTTTACTGTGAGATGTATATTAGCAGAATTATATACACATATTTACCAAATGGCATATATGGGAATATTCATAGTATCACCATTCATTATAGGCAACATTTAGAAACAACATAAATGTTCATTAATAGTAAAGTAGACAGATAAATTGTATTGTTGGTATGCAGTGTAATTCTTTAGAGTACCCAGAATGAACACACTATTATTACACGTATGAAGGTGAATGAATTTCATATGCATAATGTTGAATAAAAGAAGACAGACACAAAAGAGAACACAATATTTTATTCAATTTTATATGACTTTAGATTAAAAAAATAATTGAAACTAACAGAATTTGGAGTCAGAATACCCATTAATCTTGGGAGAAGTGACTGAGTGGTGGCACAAGGAAATTTTGGCATATTTCAATTTTTAATAAAGGAAAAGCATGCATGGAGTACAGTTTTCCACTTATCAGATTGATCCTCTTTTTCATGACTATACGTGTAGTTAGCAATGAAACAAGGAGCATTTGCAAGTCAATGGAATGGAAATTGATGTCTATTTTCTGGAAATTATTGGATGATATCCACAAAAGCTTAAGAAATAGCTATTCTTTTATCAAATAACTTAATTTCCAAGACTTTTTCCTATAGAAATAATCAAAGATACGAACTTAGCACTATGTGAAAGAATATTTTCTACAATATAATTCCTATATTTAGATATGAGAAACGACCTAATTATTTAGGGATTTAAATAAATGTATCATGGTATAGTTTTTGATAAAGTGTTCAGAAGCGATTTAAATTCATTCATTCAGACAGCATTTTCTGAACTCTAATCCTAAAATTAAAATATTAAATGGTGAGCTAGTTACAAAGCAGCATATAAAGTGACTCAAATTACACTTTGTATAAAAATATATTTATTATAACACTATTTTCTCTGAGTGAGAAATTTATTGGTGATTTTTATATTATTTTTTCCATTTTCTTATAGTTTCCAGTTCTAAAATAAATATATGTTACCTTTATATGAGAATACATCAGGCATTTTTCAAAAGAAGGAATCTAATACCATTTTTAAAAATCAAACATTCATAAGTATACCGCTTACATACAATATTATTTTTAGCATTACTTCTTTTATATTAATGTAGGTCTTCAGACTTTCTTTCATACTGATGTGCCATACCTTACTAAGCTTTTTAAAAATATATCCAATACAAATTATTTCTAATCTGTTTTGAAATTTTGTACATATTGCAGTGAATGTATTCCAGATATAGTTTTTGCCGCTGTTAAATTAGTTACTTACTAAAAATTCCCAGAATTAGAAATCCTAGCTCAAAAATGTATAAATGGAATAATCAACAAAATTTAATTATTGAACCAAGATTTACTTAATACTTAGAAGGTGTTCAGGTATTTCCCAGGTGTTCAGAAAGTATGAAAATCTGAGTGTTATAATAGTTCAGAGGGAAACAGTGAGTGATGAGATCAAATCTGTCCATGAGTAGGTCAAAAGTAGGTGGTGGAGGAGAATCCCATGGTTTTCAAAAGAAAGCAAAAAACAAACATTTAATGTATGCCATCTGATTGAACCCCTCAGCACAGTCATTTTGCTCATTGCTAAATCAAGCCCTAAATAAACTATTATTCTACCTTTGTGTGTATTATTCTACCTCTACACGTGTATTAGATATTTGTTTTTAACTGTTACCAGATTTTATTCAATTCAATGTCCCAAATCTTGTGTAAAGAAAGCTGTTATCTTTAACTTTGGGAGATACATGCCTACCTTTTGTAGTTCCAAACTGCACTGCCTTTATTGTCATCAGGTATCAAGTTTGTATCAAATTTGCCATCTGCCAATTTCACTGCCTCACCTATATCTCTCAGCTTCAGCCCCCAGTTGAGCTCTTTCCTTTACATTTGTTTTCCTCAGGTGTATTACCTTGTTTTCCAGGATGTGTCTAATTTGGTAATATTCTTTTATATCTCACACTAGCGGATCACTCAATAAGTATAATATAATTGTTTGAACTTTGCTGCTGTACTTTGTTTTGGAATAGTTCCCTGAACTCTAAATACTTGAACATTAAAATAATTAAGGTGAAGTATTGAATACATTGATTTCTTGTACAAAATATTCAATATAGTCTAAAGATTTAGGGCACTAAGAAGGCTTCCTCTGGGTGATAGTGAAACCTATTTTGTTGCTATGCACATTCAGTAAATTGTACTGCTTATGCATTTATTTTCATTGACAAAGGCATATCATATATTTATTCTATTCACATTATTTATAATTCTCTTAGGTTAGAATTATGTTAGAATTGTTGCTGGGCATGGTGGCTCACACCTGCAACCCCAGCACTTTGGGAAGCCGAAGTAGGTGGATCATCTGAGGTCAGGAGTTGAAGACCATCCTGGCAAACATGATGAAACCCCGTATCTAGTAAAAATACAAAAATTAACCAGGCATGGTGGCATGCACCTGTAATCCCAGCTACTTGGGAGGCTGAGGCAGGAGAATTGCTTGAACCCAGGAGGCAGAGGTTGCAGTAGCCAAGATCATACCATTGCACTCCAGCCTGGGCAACAGGAGTGAAATTCTGTCAAAAAAAAAAAAAAAGAAAGAAAGAAAGAAAAAAAAAAAACCAAGGATTTGTGTTAGAATTGTCTTGCAAACTGACTTTTGACAAACATGGTTATAAGGAATTGGAGGAAAAACAATGATATTAAAACTTTTTATGTTACTGAAAAATAAATCAGTGTTTTCAGGGTCCAGTCATGTAGCTCTGACAAGGAGACAATTTCAATTCAATCAATTTGATGGACTTATGATGTTGGACCAATTTATTTATATTGCACAGGGATGAGGCAGTTGATTTTTGACACTGAAGAAGCTTATAGCATCATTAAGTTCTAAAACAATCACATCACATTTCATATCAACCTATGATAAGTACAGGTTAAGTCTTATGTTTCTTTGTTGATTTTCTGTCTGGAAGATCTGTCCAGTGCTGAAAGTGGTGTGTTGAAGTCTCCAGGTATTATTGTATTGAAGTCTATCAATAATAAGTACAAATGAGATATTTCTTATAAAATTACATACAGTATTAATAAAGTATCTATTCCTTAGAGATATATTCTTGATTTGAGCCCCATCAAACATCTTAATGGTGAAGATAAAATGGAACGTTGCAATAATGATAATGAACATTGATGAGCACCCCCTCACTCCTTTTCTTCCAGAACCCTTCATGCCCTCTGTTTCCAGGAAACACATACCCACTGCCACCTTACATTTCCCCTAGTCAAAGAAACCTATGACAAGAGAAAAGGAAAAGACTATTTTAGAAAAAGAAATTCTTGACTACAAAGAGACCCAGTAGCTCAAGCTACTGATCTGTATCTGCATAAGGTATATAAAAGATCATTTGTAACTTCAAGTTACAAAGAAGATTGGAAAACTGAGCAATTCCTAGGTTGTCTTTTAGTTTTTCCTTCTTACAGATTAGAAGTAAAATAAAATCGCTAAATCAAAAAGTGTTTGTGGTCTTTATTTCAGGACTATAGATTTAGTTACATGATAGCTATATTTCCATATAAAAAGGTGGACTTACTGAAATGGAAAGAATAAACCTATAATTATGAGAGGATGCCACTTGGAGTGTGGTTCTACAGGAAGGAATATTAGGAAGAAATATTTCAACACTCACTTTCAACGGAATGAACTTTGACGTTTTGCTCTAGTTTGAAGTAAAAAATCAAATCCTTATTAGAATCAATGTAAATTGTTTTTCTATTTAGAGTATATGATACTACAATAAATAGCTAGAGTAATTTAATTATGAAGTTATTTTCCTTAGAGAGACAATATATTCCCAGTTATTGACTCACTTTTCATACATGCATGAGAATAATTAGAATTTGAAATAGATAAAATTAATTTATATGGAATCACTTGATCTAAACGAAAAGTCATGTTTTAAAGAATGAAATATACCACATTTTCTGCAGCTGCACATACTTCATTATCATTTTGGGGCATGGCTTTAAAATAATGAATAACTTTGAGGATAAAGTTGCTGCTAATTTATCATATTTTTGTTTTCTGAATTTTATGTGCTCAGTGATATCAATACGGTTTTACTGAAAGTTTGCTCGTATGTACCTCCAGTGATTTCCCACTGACCCTGCTTGTGCACTTTTTGCATCTCTCCAGCATCACATGGGCCGTGGCATTATTGTTTGGTATACCAAGTAGGTGGCAGAGACAGCAGTGTCTAATATTTCTCCGACCATCACCTGAGATCAGAGTTGACTCCCGTTAGCTGCCTGTACTCAAGGACAATTCATTTTATCGGTAAACACCTTACAATGCTATTCTTCAAGGGACAAGTTAGATAAATTGTATCTGTAAAGTATTGAAGAAAGACAGGTTAATGCTGGTTGTCTTTCAGATTTAATCATGTGTTAAAGTAGGCACTCTGCTCTCAG